AGGCCGCGGCCGTGGACACTCTGTCCCTCCAATGTGGGTCCACCATACACCCTGCTGTCCAGCCGCTGCTGCTGGCTGGGTAAGAGCAGAGACGATTAAGATCTGGAGTCTCACTCTCCAGGAGCACCAGCCCCTCAGGCAAACTCCCAACAAGGATGACCATGGGTAAGCACGGGGTGTGCGGAGATTTCATTCCGAGGAAGGTGAAGAATCAGCAAAGCCACCTGGAAAGGAGCTTTGCCACGAGGATGCTGCGTACTGGAAAGGGTCAGTGTCCAGAAACTTGGTACAGCCATCTGTCTGCCCTTCCATCTGTCCGTCCGCCCATCCGCCCATCCATCCATCCACCCACCCATCCATCCATCCAGTCACCCACTCAAGCACCTACTTCTGTACCCTCCACCCACCTGCCCGTCCAGTAACCTTCTATTAACAACCCCTCAACTTCCGGTCGTCCCTAAGGAGTCTGGCTTTCTTCTTGAGGACACCCATGAGCCTTGGGGATTTCCAGACACAGTGAGCTCAGGGGGCTGCAGTAGTCAGGAAGCCCTCATGGACACCGCAAGCAGGAAAGGGGACGAACACTCAGGCACTGGCTCACAGCTGTCAGCGTCCAAACCTGCTTTTGGCTGGCGGTGAGGCATGGAGTTTCAGTGACCTCCCAACTCCTCACTCCATGGACCCACAAAAACGTGATGAGCCACAGCCCTCACTCTGCCTTGTGTCGCGCCCTTTGCAACGTGACTCTTCCGCTCCTCCCAAGGGGGTCAGGTCCCTTTTCCAACCCCGTGGGTCTGGGCTGACCTAGGGACTTGCTTTGGCCAACAAAACATGGCAACGCAACATGCCAGGTCTGGCGCCACCATCTCCCACGCTCAGCCCTGCCCTGTGTCACCTCTCACCTGTAAATCAGTCCAGACTGGCGTGGTGGTGACCACCTGGGCCACTCCCGCCAGCACCAGCCAACTGCAGGCGCTGAGGTGCCGGAGCAGAGGATGCTCAGCTGAGCCTAGCCCACGCCGGAGCCTCAGGCACAGGACAGGCCATTACTTGAAGACACCGAGCTTCCTGGCAGCTGGATGAGGAATGACTGTGGTCACTGCTAAGGGACCCAATGGGGTTAAGCGACTCATAGCTTGGAGTCACGGCATGAGCACTCGAGTGCCCTGGATGTGAGGGCACGTCCCAGGGCCGTGTGAGGGGCCCCATCTCAGGTGGAGAGCAAAACTGAGTTTATCATGCTAGAAACGGACACTGGTAGGTGGCAGCCAGGAAACAGTGAAAGGGGAATCAGAGATGGGGAAAGGACAGGTGACCCCTCCAGAGTTGAGGCCCGAGGGCCTCCAGACACATCCCACTGAGATGGGTCCATCCATAGGTTCACACCCCATGTCCAATCACCTCCCAAAGCCCCACCACTGAACACATAGCCTTTGGGGAACATTTTTGACTCAAACCGTAAGAGTATGCAAGGATATATCCCTAGAGGGCTGGATACGGCAGGGCAGGCTATTGGCTTTTCATTTCTGCTTTTTATCTATCTATCTATCTATCTATCTATCTATCTATCTATCTATCTATCTATCTATCTATCTTTTTGAGATAGGGTTTTACTATATAGTTTGGGCTGGTCTTGAACTCACTATGTAGCCCAGGCTGGCCTCAAACTCTGGGCGATCCTCTTGCCTCAGCCTCCCAAGTGCTGGGATTACAGGCGTGCACCACCATGTATGGCTTTATTTTTTAATTTGGAAGTCACTGCAAATTTATAGGAAGTTGCAGAAATAAAAGCAGTACAAAGGATACCTGCATATTCTTCACCTGTAACCATTCTATCCCAACACACACACACAAGCACACACATACGCACACGCACGCATGCATGGGTTTTCCTTCTGACCCATTTGAGAGTGAGTCATATGCACCATGCAACTTACTCCCAGTGCTTCTGGGCATTACCTATGCACAGAGGCCCCTGATTACATCAGTATCGCTTGGCCAGCAAGTAGAGTCCATTTGACTGGCACCAAACATGTTCTGTGGTCCCAAGACAATTCAAGTAGTCGTAACAGAATGGAAATTCCACAAAGATACGGAACTTAAACAACTCATGTCTAAATAAACCGTGGATCAAAACAGAAGTCACAAGAGAAATTAGACAGTATTTTGAATTTCACAATGTTAAACAATAAAACAGCCAGGTGTAGAGAGGTGGCACACATCTATAATCCCAGCACTCAAGAGGCTGAGGCAGGAGGATTTCCCGGAGTTCAAAGCCAGCCTGGGCTACATTGTGAGTTCAAGGCCAGTCTGAACTACGTAGCGAGACCCTGTCTGAAAACAAAACAAAACAATTACTTCCATCTAATCTGCTAATTCACTTCGTACACCATTTCTAATGTTCCATTCCCTGTCACTCAGTGTTTTCCCTCCCAGCTGACACTGTGCTTCGGCTCTGGGAAGCAGGCAGCACGATGTCATGCCAGCTCATGAGGCCTGGTGCACTGCCCCCACTGTACCCTCACCACAGAGCTGTGGGCCCATGACTGTGCTGAGTGAGAAGGGCTATACACACAGACTGCATTAGAGCAGTGACAGCCTGCCCAACCTGTGACAAGAAGGTATGCTCACTGCTGATGCCCGGGGGAGGTTGGCATGTTTCTTATGCAGCCACAGCTGACGGATACAGTTGCTGTAAGTGCCTTGTGCCAGGAAGGACCTCTACTTATGTCACCTCATTCCATGCTGACAGGTAAGGAGACTCAGATTAAGTTGCTTGCACAAGGCCACGTACAATGAGCTAGTAAGGGGTATGACCATGGGACACAAGCTCTGGACTGGTGTTGGGTAAGGCAACTGGTGGTGGAGATTTTACTTACATTACGTCACTGGACACCAACAATCCTTGTCACAGATAAGGAACTCAAGCCGTTACTTGCCTAAGGTCACCTGGCCGGGGAGCTGCTAGTGGTGTCCCTGGGGACACACTGCCTCTGGTCTTGGCTGGCTGAGACAGCTGGGGTGGGTGGTTGTTTACACCACTTAAGAGGTGCGGCTCCTACCACCTGCGGACAAAGTTCACTGCCTGACTCAATTGTGGCCTCCCCAGTGCATGGCCTGCCTCTCTCCTCCAGCCCCAGGGAATCAGCGATTATGTCCCCAAAACATTAGTTTGCACCTGTGTTCCTCGTAGAGGCCCACGGTTCTTGTTTTGTTAAGATAGGGTCTTGCTATGTAGTTCACGCTGGCTTTGAGCTCACTGATCTTCCTGCCTCAGCCTCCTGAGTGCTGTGATTACAGCTGTGCACCACCACGCCTGGCCCAGGAATTTAAGACTTTGCGGTACTAAAATCAGTGAATGGTTTTCCAGAAGCATAAGCACTACTGTGATAGCACAAACACTGAAACAGAGTGAGAGAAAATGGAATCAAGGAACAAGTCCACTTTCACCTAAAGACAAGCGAGAACAGGTCTTTCTGGTTCCTCCAGAGCAGGCCAGTGACAAAGGCTGAGCGGCCCAGGGCCTGGGCAAGGAACCCGTGTCAGAGCTGAGATGACGGCAGCTGGCTCACACTCAAGCCCTGAGGCCAGGCAGTTCGCAGCGCCTCACACGCCTCACACGTCTGAGAGGCCATCGATTGAGCCCAGGAGTGAAAACAGCTAGGGCTGGGCAGGAGCCGGCACGTGGCTTGGGGACCACTCGGAGAGGCACAGTGGGGATCAGGCCCCAGCCAGGGCAAAGACCCCAGAGAGCAGGTGACCGTCCTCCCTCCAAGCCTCAGACTCCTGGCATGGGTGAGGACCTGCTGAGGGCCAGGAAAAGATGTTTTGTTTTGTTTTGAATTTGGAAGTGACTGCAGACTTACAGGAAGGGGCAAAAATCCAAGTAGCACACAGGGCCCCTGCACACCCTCATCCTGTGCCCTCCCCAGGGCACCCTTCCTCCCACGGTAGCCCTGCTGTAATACCTCGTGACATGAATTCTGGAGACATGGCTCACAGGCTGTCCAGGGAGGACCAGGGTGAGGTCCCCACCTGAACTATAGGAAGAAATCCTTTAAACAGATGAGGAGAAACTGCCATGGTTCCCCTATTCCTTTGAGATGAACAGCAGACACAATGAATGCAAAGAAATGCTACTATAAAACAATGGAGCCGGGAGGGTGGCGCACGCCTGTAATCCTAGCACTTGCGAGGCTGAGGCAGGAGGATCGCCGTGAGTTCAAGGCTGGCTTGGGTACATAATGAGACCCCATGCCCCCCAAAAGTTTCCCCATTGTGGATCAGAGCTGAGCATGGACAGTGTGGCCTCCAGTCAGTGCCAAGCATGGTGGTGGCCTTGGCAGCACCATTCTGAGTCCACATGCGAGTGAAAATGTTCATGACTTACAAACATGGATCAGGGAGTCGGGCAGCGCAAGCGCAACCTTCCTCAGGCACCTGCCACAACCAACCTCAACCTCCACGGGTAAGAGTTACAAGCTGGTTTCCCGGCTTCTGATTTTATTTCACGGGACTAACAAAAACCCTGACTAGGCAGAAAACTTGGAGGAAGGAAGAGGGAAAAGCAAACAGATGGAGAACGGTGTGATTCCTGCACGAGGGACACAGGGCCCAGGTGCCAGGGCGCCCCTCAAGCTGCCAGCTCTGTGGGTATGGACGAGGAACAGGAACACCGGTGGTTCTCTGCGGGGCGCACCCTCTCCCTGGCTCTGCAGCCCACAGCTCTCGATGAGGCAGGGCAAGCAGCCCAGCTGCTGTGATGCCAGGTGGGGCTCAAGTACCTGCGGCTCCTGGAAAGGCTCCTGGGGTCCACACTGCAGCCGGTGGCGCCTCTCCCACCCAGCACTGTAGGTCCTGCAGACAAGGCCACCCCAGCCTTCTCTCGCTCTCCTGGGGAATCAGCAGCCAGCTCAGCTGCTCAGCCCCCAAGGCAGCTTCCGGCGCAGGGAGAATGGAACCCTTGCGTCCTCACCGAGGCCAAGTTAAGGACGCCAACAGGGAGAGCAACACAGACTTTTATTCTTCAGGCTGTGACCGAGGTCAGCAAAAGAGACACAGAACTCTGGGGCCCTGCAAGCCTCCTGGACTCAGTGACAGCACAGTACCAGCTGGGGATAGGTCAGCAGCCACTTCCAGAATCGCCCATCTGTCACCAGGCAGCGTGGAGCCTCCTGGTCACTGCTTTCACACTGGGTTGGGACAGCGGGCTCTCTCCAAGAGCAGCAGCTCAGGGGCTTCTGCTCCTGCAAGCCAGCGGCGGGGGATAGCAGCGTCCTACAGCAGCAGAGCTGACGGAGGAAACCCACAGCTATTGGTGCTCCAGAGAGGACCAGAGTGACGGTGGAAGGGCCACCCCACTGTGCGCAGGGGCTGCACCCATGGGGTACACTCGTCACCTGCGGGTTCTCATGTAGACCTATCCCCTAACAGACACGTACTTCTGCAGGGAGCACGGCATCAGCGCCGCAGCCGCAGGAAGAAGGCGTGCTTGCACTCAGAGCTCTCCAGCGGGTAGTACTTATCGTAGAAGTCCAGCACGTACTCTTCAGTCTTGAAGCCAAACTTCTGGTAGAGCAGCATGGCGGGGTTGCTCGCTGAGACATGCAGGGTCACATCCTTGCCCATGCAGGTCTGTGGAGAGAGCGGGAAACACTGGATGGGAATGCAGGAGCCCTTCCCGGGCAGGGGCTTGTGTGCACGCACACAGCACCACTCACACCACAGGACATTCTGCCACTTATCTACGCGTCCTGAGACCAAAGAGCCTAGGGGTGACGGGGCATTGTTCCCCCACCTAAGACAAAGGACCACTGGGAACATTTGGTCAATTTTACTGTTTGTTTATAATTCCATCACACTCACTACCCCGAGGCCTCTAAGTAACAACTCTGGTATAGGTCACTTGACCGTGTCCTTTCTGTGTCCCTCTCCCCATCCAAAGGCATCTGCATTTCAGGGACAAAAGAGAGAGTACCAGACTATACCAACGACTGCCACCCACCAGCCTGGGCCACATAGCAAGTTCAAGGCCAGCCTGACCTGACAGATATCCTGTTACGGTTTGTGTCTGGATGTCCCCCCAAAGCCTCACGCAGTCATGGGGGGTGGGCTTTTCAGAGGTGGCTGAATCTAGAATGTGTGATTAATTCATGGTCTGATGCTGAGATTAAGGGTGTAAGTGCTACACCCGCCCTAGGGCAGGTGGCCTGCATATAATATAAGGGACAGAAAGAGTCCTGGCTCTCCCTTGTTGCTTTTGTTGTCTTCTGTGCCACCACAAACTTTGCCCTTCTGCCATGTGTCACCCTGCCTTGGAGCCAGCTGATTATGGACTGAAACTTCTACAAACTGTGAGCTAAGTAAACCTTTTCCCCTTTATCTTTGGGTGTCAGGTATTTTATCTCCACAATGAGAAAAGTAACTAAGACAGACACTGTCTCAATAAATACATAGATAAAAATAAGTAAATAAATAAACAGATAGATAGATAAAAAAAAATAAAGTGAATCTTGCCCACATCAGGATTATACACAATCCTCCATACCTATCAGTTCCTAAGAGAAAGTTACCGGAAAAATTCCAGGGAGAAAACCCCTGCATTTTTTTCTGTTAGTAACAAATAGATGGCCTATTTTCTCCAAAGGTGAAAGAGAGAAGTCACAGGATGAGCTGTCTTAGAACTCGGTCTCAGCAAGGCCGCAGCTGCACTCGGTGCGGGTGAAAACACAAATGCAGCCTGGCTCGGCGGTCAGGGCATCGGGGCTGGAGTCTCAGCAGGCAGCAGTCCCGGCGTGGGCCGTGCCCACTTCTCCGCATTCACAAACTGGTTTCCCTGCACCCTGGGCTGAACAGCGACCTCACTATGGGGTTGGAGCCTCAGAGTGCAGCGGTGATCACTGGCCCCTTTCACGTGGTCTCCCAGGACCTACCCTGGCAGGGCTGGGAGGACGGGTTCAGCCTCTCCTCTCCAAGTCCCCCAAGTCCCCAGGGCGCCCTGAAAGGTAAGTCGCATGACTTACGCGGCTAAGTCACTAAGTCACCAGCGGAGACCACTTGCCTGGATCAGGTGATAGATCATGAAAGTCGCGATCCCTGCTCTTCTCCATTCGGGGTGGACGAGTAGAAACGAAATGTAGGCCTCGTTGTATTTCACATCGGGAACCATGAAGCCGAAGGCGATGATGACTTTCTTATAGAGGACAACCACACTGAAGTCAGGGTACTGCAGGCACTCAGAAAGGTCGATGCCTGAATGAAGGGAGGGCCAGAGCTCAAGGCCTGCGCTTTCTGGGACTCAGCAACACCAAGTTACTAGGTCCACACTTATAGCTACACCTGAGTGCTAAAAAATCCCCACAATGGATGCAAAGATATTGCCACAGACACCACACACTCAAATCATAAAAAGGAACTTCAGAAAATGCCAAAATTGACAGTGTCTTCTAAGCACATGTCATAGCCAGGGTGGCAGGTTGAGAGGCGGCACAGCGCTTGAGCTGTGTCTTCGCCTCCCCACTGTGTGTGTGACATGGTCATCAAGAAGGTCTCAAGAGGGACAGGGATTTAACTCAGTGGCGTAGCGGCTGCCTGGGAGGTGCAAGGTCCTGAGTTCAACTCCCAGTACAAAAAAAAAAAAGGAAGGTCTCAGGGCCTCTTGCCCGACTGGTGTGGACATGGTGCTTGACAGTGCAGGAGTTCTTTGGTAGGAGCGCCCCAACCTCACAACAAAAAAACAGACAAAAACACACCCTGGCAAAAAGTAAGAAAAGTGCTTAGCAGGAAGGCAGAAGTCACAGGTGTTCCCAGAATCCCACTCGGCCCCAGTACCAGTCCCAGAAGAGTGTACAGCTGCCACTAACTGTACACATGCAGTTATCAGACTGTCAGCGTGACGTGGCTCTGCATGACATCTCCTCTAACATCTGAAGTCAGCTGTAATTCCTAAGCAGGCTGGCAAGAACATGTTCTGTTTAGCACAAAATGTGCTCCTTTAGCCGATGGCTTGGGAGACAGTTAAAATAACAAATCCTACTGGCCTTACTCCTATTTGCAGTCTATGATCAGGGAATTTGCCTTTTTAAAAATGCCCCTGGGCTGTGCTCTCTAAGGATCAGATAAACACACAAAGTACAGAGCTGTTAAGCTAAAACCAAAAATGTCCAAACACGCCCAAGCTATGTATGTGTGGCAGACATTACCTTGTGTCTAAACAAAGGTAGAAGCAAAGCAGGATGAATCTTTTATTCTGGAAGCAGAAACAAACAGGGAAGAGGAACAAACAAGAACACTGTTTATTACTGCAACTGCTGGCTTCTTCTCAATCTCAGAAAAGTAAAAGTCATTTAATTTTGATATTTCTATGTTGGCAGAGACAAACTACATGAAATCACACCAGGAAGCTGGGTGTGGCTGTGCACACCTGTAATCCCAGCACTTGGGAAGCTGAGGCAGGAGGACTGCTGTGAGTTCAAGGCCAGCCTGGACTACAGAGGAAGACCCTGTCTCGAAAAGCAAAACAAACAAACAAACAAATAAAAAAATCCCATGAGGAAAAGTTGTAGGGTCTGTCACACTGCATACTTTAATTTAAAACTCCTGGGTGAGGTCTACTGAAAACCATCTGCCTGGGTTGGAGGGAAGAACATACCAGGCCAGAAAAACTCCTGACACATAGAGTTGATCGTTGGGATATGATTTGGCCGCACATAGCAGTAATCGAGAGGTGCGTCGGGCTCTGGTGTCCAGTGAGGATCACTCTTGTGCAGGTAGGAACGAATCTGGGACAGGAGCTGTAGTTTGGGTGGCTTTGTTTCATAATCACGCCTCCAGCACATAGAAAATAAACAAAGTCAAGAAAATGCCCAGTATTATTCCCAGTTATTTGACTCATATGCATTTTGATATGCTTGAAATCTTTTTTTTTTTTTGTCTTTTTGAGACAGGGTCTCACTATGCAGTTCAGGCTGGCCTTGAGCTCACTTTGTAGCCTAGGCTGGTCTCAAATTTGCAACAATCCTCCTGCCTCAGCCTCCTGAGTGCTGGGATTACAGGCACGCACCCCCACACCCAGCTTGAAATCTTAAACTAATTGGCACTACTTTCTGTGATAACTAGCTTCATTACAGCTAAAACACATTTTTGGGCATGGAACCTGAAATTCATGGGCCAAGCCCCTCATCACCTAAAGGGGCCATACTAGGTGAAGAAATACAGACAGCCCATGGTTTGCTCTAGATGCTGGCGGGATCACCAGCCGCCTGCCCACAGGTCCACCTGGAGCCCAGGGCTGGGCAGGGAGGGCCGGGCGACTGGAGCACTGTGGCAGGCCGGGGCCCAGAGACACTGGGCCCACATCGCAAAGCCAGCGGCACTGCTCGAAGCGGGCCTCTCCAGGGAGTTCTGCTTCTGGTTCACCACCTGGACCAGTGATTAGAAAAGGGTCCTGACATCCAGCCCAGATACTGGCTCACTCAACTGAGGCATCAGGCCCTTTTTATTTTCATTTCACAAAGCACTAAATATATACAACTTTAATATTTAAAACAGTGATTTATGATAATCACAAGGAAATATCAAGTTAACGTCTTGGTTTTCATATGTGTTTCAAAGGATCATCTTGTCACCTGAAGTGAGCAAAGGGTGACAGCAGATGTGGACCAACGTCCCTGCCAGCACCTGCTCACACCGCTGGGTCTCTATTCCTCCAGCAGGCAAGCAGAGTGCAGCTCACCCTGCATACCCTGACCAAGACCAACCTCACATTTTGTCCGCATACCTGATGTAGGGCTTTAGGATCCGGGAAGTGTAGGGGCTGACAATGCTCTGGTCCACAGCCAGGTCCTCCGAGCCTACCAAGCGATACAAGAACTTGCTGGTCTGGTGCCGAAAGCCCTTCCTGGATGGCAAGGCTGTCTACGCAAGGAAATAGCGGTTACAGAAAGTTCAGTTCCACATGGAAGTGATGCTTATGATCTTTTTATGTAGTAGGAAGTAGACCTTTTCACATTATTTGGACAGTTCAAATTTCAATACAAACCTTGGAGGTCCTTTGGCCTAAAATGAGATCCAAAAACTTAACCCTGGTTTTAAAAGTTGAAAGCAAAAACAAGTTTAAAAATTCCTTTTCTTTTCTTTTTTTTTTTTTTTTTTGGTCTTTTTGAGGCAGGGTCTCACTATACAGTTTAAGCTGGCCTTGAGCTCACTTTGTAGCCCAGGCTGGCCTCGAACTCGGAATGATCCTCCTGCCTCAGCCTTCCGAGTGCTGGGGTTACAGATGTGTGCCACCATGCCCTGCAAGTTTAAAAACTCTGAAGTTATTTATAAATCTTGTCATTTCAGTGAGTGAAATGCAGGACTTAGGCTGAACTTGTGGCCTCTCCTAGCTCCTGTTGTCTACATCCTGCCTTCCACCACTTGCTAATGTTAACCAACACCAGGCCTGAGGAGCTCACATACACCGGAGTCACGTTATAGGACCACCATGTTATCCTGAGCGCAGGGGGCAATTACTGCTGTCCACATATCCAGATATTTACAAAATCTCCTTTTTTCAATATATAAATTTGGCAAAAATGGGAGTGGTGTAGATTACCATCCCTAAAGCAAGGAGGCCCAACTTGGTTCCTAGAAGGCTCTGCAGAACAGGGCCTTTGGTGTCCCCTGTGTGCCCCAAGAGACGCACGGAGGTGGCTGCTAGCAGGGAGCGCGCCCGGGCCTGCAGCCATGTGCTAACAGAATGTGCACAATTAGACTTTTATAGCAATGGGTGCAGAGGGGAGATGAAAAGGCACATTCACACAGTGGTTTAGTGCCAAGAGGTAGATGAAGTTTAGAAACCTGAGTTGTTTTTGTAGACTCAGTTTCATCTTAGTGTAGAAAATAACTGTTGAAAGAAGAGCAAGATTTCTTCCTTTGTAGTTCACTCTCATACTTTCCCAACCTGGACACCAAGGTTTTCAAAGGCCAACTCTGAAATGCTTCCAGGGGCTTGAAGTTTCAAAGTAACAGTTAAAGCTGTGGTGATGCTTTACAAACAGCCATAAACGATTCCTCCCAGCCCTAAAGGAGGGAGCGGCTCCTCCTGTCTGAGACAGAGCTGATTTCCCCTCCCCAGGAGACTGGGCAGCTTCAGGAATGCCTGTGACCACTCGGAGGGCAGCAGAGGCAACATCTTGGGACAGGAGCCAACTGGTAGCCAAGACCAGACGCCACAAAGAGACAGACAAACCTAGAAGAGAAGCATTTCAGGTCCAAGCCAGGTCCCAGGCAAAGGCAGTCATGTGAGTGACCCTTCCTGGGGCACCTGAAGGAGAAGAACCGCCCAGCTGAGCCCAGTCTGCCCAGAGGAAACTGTAAACTCACTAAGCTCCAGGTGGTTCCCAATGCAGAACCAGGACACTGGAACACCAGCCATGAGCCACCAGGCCACAGAACATGCTCAGCACCTTTTTAGTCTCATGGTGAAACCTGTGGGCCCTGTGGCTGTCACCTTTCACTAAGCCACTCTTCCCTCTGCCTGGCCACCACTGCAGCTGCCTCCTGTCCATCTCTGCAGCCATCCCCACCCCACAGGATCACAGAGGCCAGGTGCTTCCTTTAGAAACACACACAGCAGGGCGTGGTGGCGCACACCTGTAATCCCAGCACTAGGGAGGCTGAGGCAGGAGGACTGTTGCGAGTTTGAGACCAGCCTGGGCTACAAAGTGAGCTCAAGGCCAGCCTGAACTGCATAGCGAGACCCTGTCCCCAAAAGACAAAAAAACAAAGTCAAGAAAATGCCCAGTATTATTCCCAGTTATTTGACTCATATGCATTTTGATATGCTTGAAATCTTTTTTTTTTTTT